TATATATAATGCGTTGTTATATCATGCGTTATAATGCGTTATATAGATAAGATTAACGCGGGCTCAAATATGAGACCAACTACTTCATAAACATTTGAAGTGTGTAAAATTCCACTCGAATTAACACCTTTAAACGCTAGAATTTACCTGCATCGAGTGAGGTGGCAAAAATCATAATTGATTTACCCTCAACTACTTCATAATTATAATGATTGTTCAGGTCTATATTACCATTCATGCTATAGCTTTAACATTATAGGTGATCCAATGTAACATCTGTAGCAGAAACAAGGTAAAAACATTTTCCTAAAACATGAACGCCAACAAGTATCAAATGGTTTACTATAGCCAATTATGCGATTTGCTATGAAAATTCTGGATGTATAAGACTAACGCCTGTATTCTAAAAGCTCACTCACACTCAAACTCATTGAGTGGGAGATCTTAATCTTCTCATAACGTTTCAATGGCGGTATTTCCAGCCGAACAGGGGCTTGATTTTCAGTGATTTACCTTATATCTTTCCATCTGTTCAGAAAAAACTTTCTCATTGATCAGCATTAACGAAATTTATATGTCACACTCGATGAGTATGAGTGTGAGTGAGCTTTTTGAATACAGGCGTAAGTGATACATTACATGTAGACTCATAATATTATTAGTCAATAATAATAATAATAATAATAATAATCTAGTAATGTAGCCTAATAATGCCAATAATATATTTACAAGGTATCCATTTTCAAACGGAAAAGCAATCAAGGGCAGCTGCGTTATATCTGCATATTTAGATTTGAAGCACTACGTTGGGCTTTAATTAATATTTATTTACCGAAAGGCTCGATTTACCGATCCGGCCCCCATCTCTTCCGAAACGCTTTCCTTGCCACCATTTAACCTGATTCAGCTCTGATTATGGCTGACTACATGGGTCACTGATCTATATCACGCATCCTTAATTTTCAGCTAAGAAGTTTTATCTTTCCAACTAATCTGAGTAAAAATATTAACCAATGAGAAGCCAGTTCCTCCAGAAACTGAATGATCATTTCCTACATTTCATAGGATTTGACACTGAAAAATTTTAAGCAATTCTATTTCTATGGTGCAGAAACACATTTGTTTTTCCCCAAGTGTAAATTAGAATTCACATTTCTTGTCAAATAAATTTCATAAAGACATCAAACAATGTCCTGTCTTTCATATTGTGTGGCGACAATCTTTTCTTAAAGATGACATAATTAAGTCGTTCAAAGATAAGAGCATTTTGAAAAAGAATATATATGTCACTTTGATTGGATACAATCGCAGAGAGGAAGAAAGGAAAGGGGATGGTGTCTTCAGAGACACTCTTACCTCCTTTTGGAACAAGTTTCTCAACTCACTGGCCGTTGGCGGTGAAGAGAAGATACTGAGGGCAGAGGGAGAAGATACCCTCAATAAGACACGATTACCAAAAGATTGAATAGAAGGCAATTTCGCGTATTCTATTGTATGCGCATTTTCCTTTGTCTCTTTCAGTAGGCTTTCTTTGAGTATGTTTATTCGGAGAGGATGCTATCACAACTGAATTTTTGCTCGCATCGTTTCGCCATTGCCTCTTCGAATACCAGAAAGAATTTTTTGATAAATGTTTGAGTAAAGATGTCGTACCATTTGAAGATGTTCTAGAGTTTTGGGGCAATTGCAAATATTTTCGTAAGCCGTCGAAGGAAAATATTAAACAATTGTATCTGAACTTGCGCATCAGGAACTATAGTGCAGAGACCTCGATATGTTTTAAATTGTTCGTCACCAATTCTCGCATATTTAAGATCCTTGCAAGATTTAGAAAAGAGCTTTTATAAATCGCCTTTGTATTTATTTGTTTGCAATTGTATACATAAACTAGTGAAAAAAGCTATAGATGTAACTAACTTCAGTTTTATTCTAGTCTCTTTTTAAATGGACAAGTCTTTTATATAACTTCAAACTTTCTCGTTCATTATTTGGATACGACAAATCTTCTGTTTCCATATCATATATATGAAGTATTCGTGATAAATACTTTCGTCTGGATCATCTACATCACAATGTTGTTCCATTACATCAATTTTTTTCTACGATATACCTCAACCAAACATTCATTCTGGCCTTGATACCAGGAAAGAAAATACATGATGTCTGGAACGCCAGTTAGTAACTTGATGAGTTCATTCAATTTATCCAAGTCATTTTTTGACATTGTTCTTTCACTTTATCCCAGTCATTTTGCAATACTTTCGAGAAACAAAACTATAAACACTCAAGATGAAACCCATTTTCCAAATCTAGCAAATCATAATCGATCATGTCTTTAAAAAGGTTTATCCACCAACTTGATCGCTGTTTTCGTAAGAACGACCGCCACGCTTCTATGCACTGGTTAGAGCGAGAGAAAAAATATCTGTGGAATCTTTTACCTGCATGCTAGCTTGTCGTTATCATGTGAAGGGAAAAAACACTGCATTGAAGCGGCAATACTGTTTTTTGTCCAACAATCCGTTACAAGCTGCAATGGACATCCATCTACCTCTTTTATCTGATTAAAATAGTAAGTTGCTGCCACTCTTGGATCATTACTTGAACGGGATACTTCTAACCATAAAATTTTGCGACCGTAAACCCATCAATTCCACCATGTATGGGGAAGCCGTATATGGCTTCAATTTTGTCATGACTTATAAGGTACGTATAATGCTCATGATGATCACAGTTTTTCTACAAATGATCTACAATTTTTAAATTTAGTATATAAGCATGAAGAGTTGATAAAAACAACGGATCAATTTCCTTCATCAAGTCGTCTACCTCCCTTCGAGGTGTAAAAATTTTATGCCGTAGGCGTAGAGCATGCCAAATGCTCTTGTATCCGGACATGCCTGCTCCCTCCATTTCTTTAAGCACTGCTGTTCTTACTTTATTTCTACCAATCCTAACGGCATTACCTCGTCTTTTCAATCCAAGAGTACTTAAACGTCTCTTTAGAGTTCTCAAAGAAACATTAAAACCACTCCTTTTCAAATGTTTAACAATCGCTTCATAGGGGTTGAACATTCCTCACAAAAATCATCGACTACACCTTCAACTCCACAATTGATACAAATCATTTTAATTGAGAATGATAGCTAAGAGAGCTAGTCACTGAATCGTCCTTAGATACTCGACAATGCAATTCAAAATGTCATTCCTTTTTAAATGCCACCTCTCTTTTATATATATACTTGCAGTCGCTTTTGAAATGTTTGCTGTCTCTTTTATATACTTGCAGCTGCTTTTAAAATGTTTGCTGTCTCTTTTATATACGTGCAGTCGCTTTTTAAATGTTTGCTGTCTCTTTTACATACTTGCAGCCGCTTTTGCTTTTTAAATGTTTGCTGTCTCTTTTACATACTTGCAGCCGCTTTTAAATGTTTGCTGTCTCTTTTATATACTTGCAGTCCCTTTTTAAACATTAACTTTGCAGTTTTTAAAAGTATTGCAGCTAGTTTTAAATGCTTACAGACGGCCCTTGTGGGTCATCGTATATATCTGTGTAGATTTGGCAACTAATAGTCTTTGAATCCAACAAATCAACAGGATTAACTTATGTTGTTTTCTTGCAAGTTTGGAAGAGATTGGTTTGTCCGGCGAATTCGAAGCGATCGTTTCGATTTCGTACAAAATTTGCTGTAATTTTCACAGTGGAATGTTTCAGAATTCATGATTATAACACTCACTGCGAACACAGAAGATCCCCCAAATTAAAATTTTACTGGCTAAAATGATGTAATGCCTATATAATAGTCTTTGATTTGGCTAGAAGTGAACAGGAAACAAGACGTAGTCTGCTAAGCAGATACAAAAATATATGCTAGGTTACCCACGAGTAGAAATGCTGCCTGAAAGCATGATGTCAGTTTTCGGTTTTCCAATCTCGTTCCACGGGAATTTTCTACAAAGGTTGTTTAGAGATTCCTCTACGAAGGGTCCTGTAAGGCTTTTTAGCTGAAACTAGTCCTTGATCCCAGTGTTTGCTATCATGATTGCTATTTATTTATGGAGTAGTTTTTCTGTTGATCTATAAACCCTTTAGAGTAATTTACATTATTAAGATCGAAGGCTCGAAGAATTATTTACATAAATCAGTAAAAATTCTCTTACGCTGGAAGAATTATTTAATAAATCTGTAAAAGTACTCGAAGAAAGGCGTAAAAGAAAATTATCGTGACAAAAGTCAACTTTTTTGTGTTTTCTGAATGTCTTTCGTCCAGAATACGGTTAATTTTCTCGTCAGAATCGTTAATTTCTTGATTTCAAACACACAACAGCACTATTCCCGCCATTATTTTAGATTACTTTATTTTATTCCCGCCATTAGATAAATTTAATATTACAGTGTGATAAATTTAATGTGACATGATTAGCTCGGAAATAAGGCAATTGGCGAATGATTGGACAATTGAATTTGAGGTAGAATATAATATTTTAATTTATTCATAATATGTTTGAGCGTCGCGGCTTTTTGCAAAAGCAATATTTCAGGATGTTTTACTGCCGTTTTTTACATGTTTGATTTTTCCCATATATGTAGCTATTTTAGAGTAAGCGTAGAGCAAGTTGAAGGCCATTTATATGTTAAAAGTTAAATGCAAATTCAGTATATATGCAAATCAACATGCAGCAAGTTTTTGGTAATGCTTTTATTTCGCCGGTTTGATATTGTGGATTTCTATATCCATCAATCCAGGAAAAATTATTAGACCAGGCGTTATTTCGGTCTCAAAGTTTGACACCTATTCCAAAAGACGAAACTCCATTAAAACATGCCAGAAAAACTCTTCCCTTCAACAATGAATAACCGTGGAAAAAAATAAAAAAGCAAATTTTCAGAAATTCATCACGATTTATTAATTTAATTGTATAAGTACCACAAGGACAAAGTAACCTTACACTATAAAGTGATGTTATATTTCTACATCATTCACAAAATACCCAAACAATTGTTGTTATTAATTATACAATGAATACCTATAGTGCGTACCTTTCATACCTTTCAATAGTCTACATGTTTCATTAAAAATTCATTAGTTAATTGTATTAAGATTGTGGTGGTGGAACCTCTTCAATGACAATGCGTGATACGGAGTTCCAACCAGAGTCGGCATCGGCATGCGAATAACCCCTGCAATTCCCAACCCGAAATCCAACGCGGACACTACCTTTTGGAATTTCATTGCAATAACCCTCAATATGGCGGTGGCGGTGAATATTCTGATTTGCCCCGGTTTGCATATAAAAAACGCCATCAATAGCCATTAGTTTCTTGCATTCAGCTCCATTAAATGTGAAATACCAACGTTTGCAGCAGCCATTACATTTGTGAATACGCAGATTCCCGCCATAGAATACTCTGAGGGAGGAGTCCTTGTGTTTTTTCTCGAACACGCAATCCTTTACATATACGGATAAAAATTCATGAAATGAATACGCAAATGATTTTTAGTACTGTTAGTTGCAGCTAACAATTAACTCTTGCCTATATAGTATGTTATTGATTAATTTTCTTTGTTATGATATGCTCGAGAAAATGCTATATAGTACTGCAGTTTTTCAAGTTTCCCAAAATTTTATTATGAGGCACCAAGACATCATAGAATTGAAAACTGAGGCCCAAGCAAGAGAGCGTCTCGTAATATTCTTTCGCTATTCATTGCATGCATGGCTATAGTTTATCGTAAATAATTTTATGCTATTCTCTCGAGAAACGTCGTCCAACGTAGAATTTGCCTAGCCTCACTTAAAAACGCTGCCAAACCTCGATATTTGTTTACATTTATGTGCAGTTGCATATTTTTCTTTTAGAAGATGGCTTTAATTTTACCTGTATTAATCCGATATCCTTGCCATCGGACCGCTGCCACGCACATTGTTTCCAGTTTGAGTACAAAACGGTATTCGTGCCAGGTGAGCCTTTTTCTCCAGAAACACCTTTTCCTCCAGCAGATCCTGGCGAACCAACATCCCCTTTTTCACCAGTTCTGCCATCCTTTCCTGGTGAACCTGGAACGCCTGGTACACCGGGAATTCCATTCGAACAGCCACAAGCGGATGAACACTTTTGCTACAGAGTAAAAATATGTATTTGGGACTAAATAATTATGATAACTTATGATAAATGCAATATAATAAATTATAATAAATGCATTATTGCTTTTAATTGGAGACGAAAAGGTATTAAGCAAATGGACGTGAAGGTATCTTTAGGTTTAAAAACTACCTGTTTCACAGCAACTGTTAACGGAAAGAATAAAGCCAAGAAAATCCAAACAAGTCTCATATTATCACCTACAAATTGGTAGCAATTGATTAATTTATATAAATAGTTCAAGCTCAAGACTACATACGTATATCATATAGCTGTATAGGCTACTTCTGGAATCGTCGTTGTATGATGCTGGAATACACAACGGCGAGTCACGGAGCATTTGTTTTTCCGTAAAACATCCACGTTTACAAAATCTATTCGTGGTAAGACAGTCGTAAACGGAGGCATGCTAAAAAAACACTTACTCGGCGTCCACCAAGGTTACAAACTCTTCTCAATTAGAGATCTGAAAAAACGATAAAGCTCCTTACTTGTCTTCTAACTTCTAACTCTGATGAAATATGTTTGGTAAGATCTGCCTTTATTTCACAAGTAAACTTTTGTTATTCTAATGATCCACATTCTTTATTTAAAAAGATAATAGCCCCGACAAGCCATATATCGCCTAATCGTCTTATAATTGTTCGCTTCAGCAAGGAATTTAGTTTTCGCTTAATTTTCAGTCTAATTTACCTTCCTTTGGCAGCGATAAGGAATTTAGTTTCCATAATTTTGTTCAACTTCCTGTTTCAGGCCAACTTCCTGTTTCCTGGATCAGACCATCCAAACACGGAAATTTAAAGTTTATGAAAGAATCTAAATTTAAATTCAGGCCTTGTCGTTGTTATTTTATAAAACATTTACTTCGGCTCGTGTTTCGCGCGCTTTTCTTAACTCTCGCAAAATTCCTGCGTGTTTGGATCAGACCATTCAAACACGGAAACCATTATGGTAAGTAATTGTATAACACTTCTTATTAATATGTCGATTTGTTTAGAAATCCACTAATTCAAGGCTTAAAGGCTGTTCATATGACACAGCAAAAATTTCGAGCTGGTGTCAGGATTAAGCTCGAAGAGCAAGGCACTGCATGCCAAGTCCCAAGAGCACTAAGATACTATTCAGTACATTTATAGATGATGCTCGTATTAGACGATTACAACTCTTGCATGAAATTGCATGCTTTTCTATTTAATTTCAAATTAAACAGTACCAATGCATAATGTTTGTTCAATGCAGTAAAATACGGATAAATAGCTCTTTCTGCCTGTAAGCATAGTAAGCATGACAAGCATGCAGCTTCAAATTATTTAACAATTATTGCAGATTTAGACATCGTAAGGATAGATTAAATAATTGCTTCATGCAATTATTTCGTTTTCATGCATACTTTACGGTTATTAACCATTCGTTTACAATACATACGTAGTTAATTGTTTTCAGCTAATGGCAGAACTTGTTTACATAGACAAGTGCCAATGCCGCCAATCTGGCTAAACCACACATATAATTCCTAACACGTTCGTTATCAACAGCAAGTAACAATTATAAAAGACAATACACTATAGAATCGTCTGTCTTGACGAATCACAAATACATCTAGCCATAAAGAAATTCGAAGGGAAAACCTTATCATCCATTTTATAGTGATGAATGCGCTTTTTCCGTGGTAAATTGTAATGATATCAAAACTTCGGCTGCATACTACCGTATGTAATAAATTGCACTTTTGCAAATTGTTTAATTCTTACCCTTTTTGAATAGCCGAAATGAATTTCGGTCCATTCACACGAAGGGGTAATTTTCATATGTTTCTATTGACTTTATAGTTTGCTTCAAAATATATTTCAGAACTGCATGTGGTTCTATCAGTTCATCCTAAAGAAATGTCTTGCACGTCTTAGCAAAATACCTCGCTCTAGCTGGTTTGTGTTATCAACAGTAGGTACATATAACACTAATTTTACTGAAACGGCATACTTAAGGAATAAGACACATTAATAAATCATCAAGGAAAATAATAGCAATGTAAATTGTAAGTATACCTTGAAGCAAACTGAATTAATATCAACAGTCTTTAATCACATCTAAAAATCTAAAACATGTTGTCGATCAATTCAACTAGTGTCGATTGCAAACCACCCTAATTTTCCCCCATTAACACCGTGGCCACGCATTATTTCTCTTAAAATCATTATGAACTTTAGGAACATATCATATTCATGATCACAGTGATTGTAATCATTCGCTCTTGCTTACGTCGAATTTTCTACCGTAAATATAACCATGGACATGGAATACGAATATATCCAACCTAGTCCCTAGGCCTCATTGCGAGGATTTTCAAAATCCATGACGTCACCGAATGAAACACGCGCGAGAGGCCACGCACAAAATTTTTTCTAATGTTAACGGCCCATTTATTACAAGAGTAAAGAATAAAGGAAACAAGAGTAATTGAAATCGGCGAATTGAAGCTTATTATAAAAACAAAAATGCACGTAAGGACCCGAGTTTACTCGATAATCGATAGCAATTTAAGTGAACGACATTGCAACCTTTGTATGAATATTTCAAAGTCATGGCAGCATAATCAATTTCCCGTAGCTTATTTAAAGCAAAATATTTGACTAGCGACGTCGAACAAGCAGCTAACCTCCTCGTAGATCGTCTTAAACTAACCTCAATACAGAAGGTGGGACAAAAAGTACCCACATTAGCCAAAATAATTTGCCCATTTTGTTCTAGGCCTCTCAGTTTCCGCCTCGCCGCGTGTACTGAGGAACGTATAAGAGGCCTAGGGTCTAGGCTGGAATTTATTTCCGTATTTAGGGGCCTTGTGTCTAGTTGCTAGCGATTCGCATCGGTTCTAATCCTAAACTTGACCCAAACCTGACCCAAACCTTACCCAGCTTTCTTATACCAAAGGATTAGAATCAAGGATTATATTCGTGGATTCTGGACATGAAATTATTACCTAAATTTCGGACTGCCATTAATCTGCGTACCTGGTATACCTATATATGAGGAATTGGTCACTTCTCCGAACGGACAATATAGACAGTCCCAATTTAAAATAAGTAACTCATTCTCAGTAACATTTCTATGAATCTCTATTATTCTATATTGTCGTTTCCGCAAATATTTTTTTTGAACTACCAAACCAAAGTTCGCGGGTCCGATTCGCATCCTGGTAAAACTAATTTTTCATCGTGCCCAAGCGTGAGGTCTGTACTGTGAAATATCAGACTGAGGCTTTTCATTTTAGTATAGTTTTCCTACTTTCTCTGGGAACCCTTAAATGAAAGCCCAAAATTCCTTAGTACTATATCAGTTCTCTTCAGAGAGGAGACAATGTGTCACGCTCAAATTTTTCACCATAACGCACGCTTCGTTCGAGTTTCGAGTAAATATTTACACTCTTGTTTTTCTCGCTTCATGTATCACATTGAAAAACTCATTAAATATCCCATTGTACAGTTTCTCAAAGAAGTACAGAGGTAGTTTTTAATAACTTTGCATTATCTGAAAGAAAAAGGAAAAATTTTGGAATGACCGTTCACGTGTTTAAAATTATATAATCTGATTGGACAATTTATTTTTTTACATTTTGATTAATATTTATCTCTTTAATTTTATAGCTTGTTGTAAAAACTCGAAGGTTATGCCTACGTATATTCACATCTCTATAACTACAATTATTAATTTTTTTATACAAAATTGCGATAAATTTTTACAACACAATCATCTACTGTAAATTCACTGAAACCGCCTTCCACTTGATGAATTTGTTCGTACAAAATTTAATTTAATTTTTTTGCCGGCAAATCCCTTACATTGTTGGATTTGAATTTTCGAGCCACGGGCCACACAAATTCGCCTGTAGTGGAAGAAGGAGATCTCCGTACTATATTCAATTTTCGCTTTCAGGTTGGCAATGTATTTTCACAAATACCAAATAATTTTCTCTATAATTTTATACTCTATATTCGCTCTATATTCATTTTTTAGGTATTCACGCGGTATATATATTTGTTATATAGGCACTGTGTATTTTAAATGTGATTGGTTCATTCGTAGTCACGTGACTTTAAAAAAATGCAATGTTTCCTGCCAGGGAAAGAAGTGAAAGGTTGTTGCCCGCATATTGTCATAAAGTGTTATTGTTGAAATGAATTTGTTGTGTAACATGTTTGATTTGGTTCCTATATAACAAAGCACTTAATTTACACTCCTTCGGGAAATAGTGAGTTTTGTTTTCCCTCGACTCTCAATGTCTTCCTCGACTTCGTCTCGGGAAACATTCAGACTCTTGGAAAAATAAAACTCATTTTTCTCTCAGGAACATAGATTAAGTGTATAGTATATCCTTATAGCTACGTCTAGCTAATCAAATTATTTTCTCAAGTCACGATATTCAGCACGGCAATACCGTAACTAAATAATTTCCCATCTAATAATTATCACCGTAATGCTGTTTCTTCGTAGTAACACGTTATGTACCAGCAGGTTGTTGCAATGAAACTAGTCTGTAGCTACTGAAGTCTGTCCTATACCCATGTCTTCCGCTTAAACCAAAAGAAACAAGTAATTTCCAGGCGTCGTGACATGAAAGTTTAGATAATAATAGGAGCTTTGTAGTTTCCTCTGGGGGCAACTCTTATAATGCTGTTATTCAATAATTTTAGCAAAAAAATACATCATCCTCAGTTGCAATATTGTTTAAATATTAAGCAACATCGAAAGTTCCATAGGATTTTAAATATGACCTTCGCTATATGATGACATGGACGAAGAAGCGACTTTTCATTGAAGCACTCCGTCGATCTTCATTTGGCCTGTTCTATTCCTACGACTTTAACACCACATGATCACAACGTTACCCGTCAGTAACAAGGTTTAAAGCATCTTGTAACTCCAGGACGATAGAAATGAGCTCTTCTTTCTACATCAATCAAAGAGGACGAAGTTTTAAATGAAACTATTTTTCATAGGGAGAAAGCTTGCGGCAAGTGAGAAAGGCAAAACATTAAGAACTAATTCTTGGATCGTGACCGTTTAAGTTCTATTTTTAACAAAATTTATTGTAAGATAAAATACAGATTCAGATTGAGGAATACATCGCGGTTGAGAATGCAAAAATTATATGATTCACTGAGAAGAACCTTGCATTCTCAAAGAAATTGCTAGTCCTTTTTAATTAGGTTTTTTTTAAATTTATTCTACGCAGCTATACTATCTTCAGTCTATAACAAGGTAGAGAGATCCCTTCTTGTTAAAATTTTTGCAATGTACCCCTGTCTGAAATTATATTATTATTTTAATTATAAGACTGCGTGAGTGTGACTCAGGTTGGAATCACATTCTTATACGTATAGTCATAGTATTATCCATACCGATTTCGCTTCAAGCTGTTCCTTTTGGTACCGATTTGACAACTGATTCAGATTTGAATTCATCTAGAAACACAGAAAGATTTTCAGCCTTTTTGGCAATTTGCTGAATTTTTTAGTTCATCACGTTCTTTTCATGCAAAAAATCTTCAGAATTTTTTTAATTATAGCATATACAATTATATTTTTGTACTCATTTGATCGCATGTTTTTCTGACGAATGAACATGAGATCTTAACTATGATGTCTGCACGAGTGTTTCTTCAATTGCACACGCATGCACAGGGAAGAATTGCTTTTGAATCACGGAATAAATTGAGCTTTTTGGCTACGTTACAACTATTCATTACGACAACTGTTCCTTCTGTGATAGAACATAGATGTGTCCTCTGCTCTATATAAAGTTTCTAGCCTCTTATAAATTCATTAAAACCCAATTTATCTAACAACGGAGTTTCGAGGTCTACCACGCCAAAATAACGTAATATTCTCGCATAATTACGAGAAATAAAGTCACAGAAATGATATGATCATTGTTTTTTATGGTAATTTGTTTGCCGAACAAAATTTGTCTTTTTTATCTTCTCAGTCCTCATCTCGTATGTAAAGAATACTCACCTTCGCACATTGTCTCTCAAGTAAGTCATCATTATGCATGATATCTCCATTAGTGTCGTGTGGTACCGCATGAGATACAGGTAAATCATTTCCACCTTGTGAGTTACTTTCCGCCCTCAACTCTCCTTTATTGTCTTCTACTAACTTTAACATTCCACATGAGGTGTGATTTTCCTTATGGTTATTATGAAAGCCATTAGTCCTTCTCTTCATGTGATCACGTGTATATATGTATTTGTTCGTAAGTAGCATGTGATCATCACGTGAATGGTCACGACATAAGTAGTCCCGCCCGCATTCACTCAAGTCAACTGGTAAAGACTTGGTTCGACTAAATAGCTGGCTACGTTGGTTTGACATACGCGTCCAGTATTGAAATGGAAACGAGTCGGACAACCGCTTGTTCCTGGAAAATTAAACAAGGGTGGGTAAATGAAATGTAAGTGTAAAAACTTTTTTCAAAGTAAAATGAAAAATTTAGAGACATTTGAAATATACAAAAATCAGGTGTACTGGCTCAAAACATTGAACTGTATGTAAGATCAACTGGAACGCTAACACCTAAAGTTCAGCGTAATAGTTGATAGAAACCAAAAATTGAAGTAAAAAACTTAGTTTTGACTGTGTTTCTCGTTTAATTCTTATAAAAATTAGCAAATGATTGTATTTTACATAGTTCTATAGACATTCCTCGATAATTACTCTCAAATTCTGTCTCAAACGTTCAAAAACTCAGAAAAACTAGCTTCAAATTTGGCTTTAAAGATGGCGGCCAAGTTATCGTTGCAGGTTTTATTAAAGTTCACTGGCTCAAGAATGTTTCATATAAGAATTCATACTATCCAAATTACTTCGGACTTGAATCATGCAGACAAACTTATCATGAAACATAATCTTCAATGAAATTATATATATCATTGACATATTACAAGTATTCTTCGTTTTTATTCTTAAAAGCCATCACTTTCATGGCACACCGCTTCAAATAACTTTTTTCAACTGAATGAAATTTTGATAATGAATTGGGGAATGGAATTAAAAAAAACATTAACGTTGGCAATGACAGCTCGGAAATGCAGTCCTTATGTAGCGGGGAGTGGGGGCTTTGGAGGTGTGCATGCATGTATCATATGTTCATGTATATCATATGATTTCCAGCTAGTGAAAGCAGGTTGCCTATATGGCATGTAATATAACCACGATGTATTACGTTATAAATATTGCTGGACTAACCTTTCAGCTTGTTTAAGCTTCTGAGTGACATTGTCACAGGATCTTGACAATAATGCACTATTTCTTTCTTCGCAAAATGGCTCTAAAATCAATTAGTCGATTAATATAAAACATAGTCATAGTCTGGGTAAACGAAATATGAAATCTGGAGGTTGAAAGGGTCTTAGTTTCGATTAGAATTTGCATACTTCAAATTCAAGCCAGGAAAAGTTGATGGGCCACGCTTTTGCGATGCCGGTGCAATGCTCTTGCCACTGGGCTACAGAGGTAGCTGACAAGAGCAAACGTGGTTAATGTGTATAGGATGGTATCATAATTGATTTACCCTCATCTATCCCAGCATTACCATCATATACACATTAACCACGCTCTTGTCAGCTACCTCTGTAGCTCAGTGGCAAGAGCATTGCACCAGCATCGCAAAAGCGTAGGTTCGATTTCTGCCAGAGGACCGATAGTTGATTCATTTTTCCATCAACTGTTCCTGGCTTGAATTTGAAGTGTGTGTAATTCCACTCGAAATTAAGACCCTTTCAACCTCTATATATCATAGTCTATAACATTGACTTGGTATAAGCATTTTGCAGCATTCAAAATCCATGAGCGACAAAATCACATTTAGGGAAGATGAGTATATGTTATATACCAGCTAAGGAAAAACTGGAAAGAGGACATAAAGTGTTTTGAGGCCGAAGACCGAGAGCAATCTCATAACCGAGGTCTGTCTTTTCCTCATCCAGACCGAGCAAAGCCGGTAAATTACGTGCAAATTTTTCGAAATTTTTTACGTGCAAATTCGCACGCTTTACCATAGGTAGCCCAGAAATCTGTTTGTACTCAGCTTTCGACTACATTGTTTACGCGCGCGGTCAGCTTTTACTGTCTGTACTAATTATTGTATTATATTTTGATAAGGTTGGCACCTTAATTTTCAAGCAAACACGTACCTTGGGAGAAATAGTAAAAAAAACTTTGGAACTACACAGGAAAGGACACAAAAAATTACATAGAGGTAAATTAAGATACCTTTACTAAACTACTAGCCATTTTTTTTTGTCGTGGAAAACGACACTGGAAGTGTCGAAAAATTGGTATTTTTTTTACAAATTTGCTGAATTTCTCGCTGTGACTATGCGGGATTCAAGTTGCCTGATACCGGTTTTTGGTTTGAATCACGAATTCATTATTTCATTGGCTTTCACAATTTACTAACTTCTAAAAAGCCAATGAAAAAAAGCCTGTGTAGTTCCAAAGTTTTTTTACTATTTCTCCCAAGGTGGCTGGCTTAGAAATTAAGTTGCCAACTTTATCAAATAATACAGTAATTAGTACAGACAGTAAAAGCTGACCGCGCGGGTAAACAAAGTAGTCGAAGGCTGAGTACAAACAGATTTTTGGGCTACCTATGGCTTTACAACGCCACATTTTCCATTTACGGTAGAAAACCGTTAGCGGTGTTGTTGAGCGCGGTCCGGATCGGAAAACCCGGATCGCCAATGAAGCAAATTAACTGGCTCAAAAACAGGATCGGAAGAATAAAACGAGGTGTTTTTGCAATTAAACATGCACTGGCAGGATATACCAGTTCAGTACACGAGTACGAGATTCGTCACTCATTCTCGCGCGTTGTTTGCATACGCCATCAGCCAAAACTCGTAGTTTCGAGTACGAGTTTTTTTTGGCAAATTTCGTACTCAAAAGCTCGGCGACTATTAGTTTTGGCTGATGGCGTAAACAAAACCGCGCGAGAATGACGAATCGTAGTCGTACACGGTCGTAGTCCCTGCTAAAGCTCTCTAGTATTGGGTCACACCCGGTATTCACTATAACTTTCCTGACTTCATGAGGTACAAAAATTATCAAAATAATTTCCACAAAGTTGTGATCTTTAGAAGCTAAGGTAACACTTTTTACAGTATTACATGTTTCTTAATATATTTTGAAGTTTATATATTAATTGCAAAGTAACATTGCTTTCCTTCATTTCTTCGTTTGATTTTATCGATCGCTGCACTTCGGAGCACATCCGAGCACTTTGGCATTCGCTACATATTAATTTTACGTTTGACGGTAATAGTCGTTTGACGGTAATAGTCGTTATACGTCATCATGTTGTATCGCAAAATAGTGCATGTGTCTCTCAATAAAAGAAATACTATATCTCAATGATAGAAATGTTGTGTCTCAATAGTAGTAGAAGTTTCAAGATAAGAAAATCTAATTAATTTGAAAGAATAGTCCATCCATGCAAATATTTGGCGAAGAGCGTTCGTGCACTTTTAGGGTAATCTCGCTATAGCTATACGTACTAAACTAATCATTTCAACCTAATTTATATACTGAAATCAGAGATTTCAGATATTATTCAGATGAATCAGACAGATATATACCATAAATCTATAATAATCTATTAATCTAGGTATTCTAATTATAGGATACATCATTTCAGGTATTATAAATATTATGGCGGGTTTATTGTCGTGGACTTAAATTAGTACTCCTATATACAACATAGCCAGCGGCAAATTTAAAAACGAAAATAAAATTCATACCACGCGAGTTGAAAAATCTGTTCTTATCACTGGAACACACGCTAATAAACACGTCACACGAATGACAATGACGTAAGACTGCCCATTCTATATAAATTATCTTCTCTATTAATAGACTCTAATCTCTAGTGACTAATGAATGAATATTCCGGATGAATATTCTGACGCATTCCTGGAAATGTTCTTACGTGAATCGACTCAATTCCCAGACTGACACACGATGTGTTGACAAGGATTTCAGAACACCTAATTAATAAATGTCTGAAAGATACGATAATGCATGTGACGGAAACACAAAATAGTATTATGACGACGAGCCTCTGAAGGTTAGTACTAAAAAAATTGACAGAAATTCAAAAGGGGTGAAAATTGAGGTGATATTGTCTAGACGGAGTTATAAAATAATACAAAATACCATTTTTAAATTCATTTTCTGCTTGCAAAACGCCGATTCCTTAAATGATTTCCACTTAAAGAGCGTGTGTTTAAAGTTTTTGTGATGTTTACGCATACTAATATGTTAATAAAACTATTCCAGTAAAAAATCAACGAAATACTCTGTCGCAATAGGGCAAAAACGATTTTCAAACTAGCGGATGGATATATTCTAACGCCTGCGTTGTTCACATCATTCGCAAATTGCGATAATGAAGAGTTTATAAAGAGACCCAGTATCTCAAAAATGGTTGAATACATATTCTGCTATTATATCGAAAAAAAATTAAAGGATATTTAGCTATAATGCAATTATTTGGCTCTTCCTAACAGAGAGTAGGGAAGGTGGACTTAAAATTTAGACACAGCAGTACGTATTCACAACAATGGCTGTCATCGTATATGGGAATTGTTGTTTTAACTATATTCCGACATTATTGCTATGAGAGGAAATATCATAGGTTAATTCATGCAGCTTCACCATAGGTTCATCATAAGTTCATGCAAAGCACACAGCATCATTTACTTTATACTTCATTAATTACACAAGTTTTAAATATCATCGAAGTAAAATGCTACCCCAAACTTTTTAACGATATTTTCATTGAATTAAGCTACATGGATTGCTCAAAATATTGCATGTTAAAGGCAAAATCACTTTTCCGACATGCACCGACATGCAATATACCGTACATGCATAAGTTATAACCTGTTGTTCAAAATGTCTTCAAACCTTAAATAGTTGCAACATATGCGATCATTGTCAACTGATTTGAATCCATGTGCATGAATGCATAGTAAGGGAGTTTCGAGTTTGTTCGGATGGAAATTTGAACTGTATTAAAACATGCAACAAGCATTTCGTAGCTACATACATATGAACAGCTGTATAAATAACATATTTTTGCTTTCAAGAATATTTTCAACTTTGTGTATAATTCAAGTGAAAATCATTATTTTAAAAATTTGAGGAAGCATTTTACATATTCAGAGCCCATGTAATTTTGTATGATTGATTTGCCTATATTAAAAAGATCCTATCTCATCCCAGACGTGGTTGGACATCCGGACTATACTTTTGGGATTATACAACAAACTATATTCATTTTGCGCTTATTTACACGGAACAGTATTAAATTCTATATTGAAACCCTTTTGACTTGGCATTACTGTGGGGGAGTTTAGGATTAAGCGGATTTAGGGAACCAAAACTGTACTCTACTCATCCTGCGCTAATTATTTGTTTATCATAGTACTCCTGATTATAGGAATTATCTGCTTCCGCAACAGACAAAATCATTTAGACAAATCTTTTCATTTCCATGCATACTGTTGAATCTTTTTGTTCTTTAATCAAATAACATGAACTGATATAAATTATTATGGTTCGTTTTCGGCAGAGATGCAGAAAAGCTGCGGACATCCAGGTACCATGCGGACGAAATTTCGCTGTATAGTCGAGGAAGGTGTGAAACATAAGGTATATAGAGGACCCTGTTCAAGAGTAAAAATAGATTGTGGGCCACTAATAATATGATTTATATTCAGACTATCAAATCTTTATATATGTATAGATAGCATGCCGAGCCATTTGATCAGAATTTTGGATGATATTATAGCTGCTTTCCGATGTATTAAATTTATTATCAAAAAAAAATATCAAGAGCAACCGGTATCACATAATTTTGACCGAGGAAGCTCTCCTCGAAGATTGAAGGCCCTCTGTATATGCAGTATGGTTTTTCCGGAGGAAAATTATGATTTGCTTGTATGTAACATGATTTTTTGTACACATTAAAATTTTATAAATAACTATATTTCGCCCTGAAATATATAATAATATAATCATATGCAAGGGCAGATGTTATAGCATGCTGAAAGTGTGAAAGTAAATTTGCCACTTTGCTTTCGGAATTAATGAAATAAATAATAAGAAACAAATTTTTCCCAAGACACATTTGTCACTTCACTTCAGTAAAAGGTAAAATTCATTAAAACTTGACAAAAGGCTGAAACGCGACGTGATATCATATAAATAATATATTCAGTTATTAAAAGCCGTTATTGGACTCCAGATGGGTGTTTATTTATGCAGTGGCGCAGTTCAAATGCTAATAATCCATTATGTAGACCAACTTTTCGAGTGCGACAGATTGTACGGTCAGATATGTCGATTATTTATCTACGTGAGCACACATTGTGTAGAATTTAAGTCCATAAACAGCTGCATTATGCCCGCGGGTCGTAGCCCTTATGCAGTTTAGATGCTGCACGTTTATCCTATTGAGATGGTAGAGAAAAGCAATGTATTGTTTTCAGCGGAAGCCTTCCTCTAGTGATGTTATAATCATGCAAGACTATACCGAATTTGCAATGTGTTCTTTTTCATTTGCAATCTGACAAAAAATTATCATAAATGCTTGGCAATGCTTCGAGATTGCTATCCATATTTTCAAATGCTTTTTATCGTGGAGACGATAGAGACAGTTTAAGTTTAAAAAGCTTGTTTTTTAGTGGAGGCTTTTTTCAACGCTTTAAACCTTGCATCTATCAAATCCAATTTTGCAATCTGCATGGAGTTTATATTTTCCGATCTGACGAAGTATATATATATATATATATGTATGGTAAATGGAAATAATAATTGCAAGATATCCATGCATATATTCAAATGCTTTTTTGCACAGAGGAATCTTGTTTTATTTGTTTAACCCGCTTCATTTACGTCATTTCGAAAACCGGCAAAGTTATCCAACATTCCACATAGTTCAACATACCATTGCCTGTATATATATATTTTTAATTTGACTAATATACATATACGCAATGGTTATAAATGCAATGATATTCGCTCAAGATTTAACGGCTGGCTAAATACGACTTATACGATGATTCCAGACAGGACTTACATCTTTTGATGACAAAATAGACGCTTAATTATCTTATGCATGCGACTTCGATCTCATTGTCAGATAATCAGTTCGAGCGAGCGGAATTTATAACCGTGCGTAGACTATAGATGCCTATTAGAGGTCAACGACGTTGAAAGGTTGTTTGTTATGAATAGAACTAAAGGCATGCGTCATTTAATCGATAGACGACAATATCTACCGTAGTATTTTGTTTCCCATCTGCGTCAGTTGGAATTCGATGCCAAGTCATTCATTCTGTACATGCATGTACTATAATCATTTCAAACTCGAAAACATTGTTTTAAATACAATTACAGTCCCTCGTATTTCCAATGAAAATATTTTCAGGCAATCATAATGGGAATACGTCATTTGATTATCGAGGGCATGCACTCAAGTAAGCTCAATTATGTAAAGGCACAAATGCACTGTCTTTGTGGGAATATTACACTCCGTTCTTAACTCCTAAGTCCGCATACTGCTACACAATAAATGTATATTATGTATGTATATGTATATGCAGTACTATATAGTATGTAGTTTCTTATAATAAGAAGATTGTTGTGTACATAACTGACATTTGATACACGGACGTTCAGGCACTCGATCTTCGCTCTTTATTCGAACATATAATATATATTAAATATCTAAAGACATCGACGGTAGAATAATCTACTGACAGACATTCGGCCGCTCAGTCTTATAGTTAACTCAAGTCTTAATCTATACATAAGTGAACGAAAGCTTCATTACCCGCCGCTAAAATACTTATAATATAATAGTACCAATCTTAACAGCTCATTCTCTTCAGATTTGAAAAGCTGAAACTCAGACGTTTGTCTAAATCGTTCAAATATATACAAGTTTAACACAGCGTGCGTTTTTTGTCCATACATTCGCGCTATAATCTGAATAATATCGTGTTTGAAGGCGTTCTTTACGAGATAAATAGACATATACCTGATTTGAACTCGAAGATTCTGAATTGATATAACTTCTTCTCGTTGCAGTAAACAACTGGACTTTGCTGGCAATGTGCATTGATCATATTCAGCCAGAATTCACGAATATTCTAAAGCGACGTATCTTGATAGCTATAGATATGTTTGATATAGAAGAAACGTTGAACGATGGGGTTGCAGTATGATTCGGTAAGATCTCTTCCGCCAGTGTGTATAATACTTGTTCGATGAATAACGTTAAGACTTAAGAGCGAAAGGGCTCCATATCGGGAACTGAATCGAGCGTCCTCTACCCAAATGTTTACATGCTTTTACGATAGAACTGAACCTAATGATATTAGCCACAATTATGCGAAGACTGTATAGCCGGGTGCTTACGCGTACTGACGTCATTTGGTTAAATTATTGGCAAATAAGCACGTAGATCCACTAAGGGCATAACAAAAGCACTTTATGAGTCCAGTTTAGTTTTTTGACAGGGGTCGTGTATCGTGGGAAGAGCGTTGACGTCCTGTGGACGCGTTTGTTTCCTAGAACTAGCGAGAAATAAATGTGGAAACGCCGACGAGACGTCACCGACCAACGAAAACGCGTCTTATAAATCAAGTGAACTAACGTCAAAACGTTCCAAATTAAGGCTAAGAGGTGGGGTTTGGGGGTCGGTCGAGCACATTCATCGACCAAGGGACCTTCTTCTTAAATCTTGCAGACTATGTTTCTAATTTGGTTTTAAACTGACAAATTCATTAACCGGGATATTCGAGTAAGTGAGACTGCATGTATATACCGCGCATTTGATGGTACATACCCGTATATTCACTATCTGTTTACAAGTATAAGGCGATCTTTCAACTGGAGTTATTGCTTTCCCCTCTCTCGCATCCCAGGTTAAAGTCATCGTTAGAACCTTTAGGTTAGGATAGTTGACGGTCCACCGAATTTAAAGTTGTAATTCGCGGTTACGGTGCCGAATACAGTATAATTGTATACTTGATGTGACTGAAATCGTGTCCGTTGCAAATTGGACAAGAACTGGAACCTATATATGTCTGGAAAATATGTATGACGGGAAATTGAATTCTTCATTTTGTTTCAATTCATTGACTGTCTTATTTTATTACTGAGAGGTACCATAGTCACAAAAGCAAATTTCAAAAATCTGCTGTCATAATGACTCAAATTTGGTTTAAAACGCATCTGAAAATCCGGCTGTGTGAAGTTGAAATAATCCACCGGAAAGTAACTGGGAAATCCGTCATCGCGGTAGGGAAAAAATTGCTTACGTACGAGACATCAGTTAAAAAAAATTCAATCTTGCAGTACATTTCGAGAATAATGAGGAGCTTTTGCGATTTGTCGAAAACAATTCAATCCGTTCGCGAAAAGGTTCCGTCGGCATCGGCATTTCATACGACAGAAGACGAATCTTGTGCGAAAGGATCGCGGTTTTCCAATCACATTCGCTCCTTATTTGGCGTGGGCGAATCGCGCATTGTTTTTGAGAGTGTCACTTTGTCAAGGCCCGCCGGAGCAGATTATCATGAAAACAGTCTCAATTTTTTACTCTGGTTTTGACTAATATGAAACAAAACTGAGTCACATTCAATAATACTCACTATAGCCGTTCGGTCATGCACTACCATGTCCGAGAAGACTCAGTCGACTGCCGCGCTATCTGAGAAAATTTGGGCCAGAATGTGAGCACATGCTTAGCGAATTTGCCAGCTGCTTTTCGGAATACATTTTTTCCGCGATGAGACTAACTGAAAATGGAAAAATCGGGACGGAATTAGTAGGCCATTCGCATCCGCGATCATCTTATTTCTCGGCTCAAGCCTGACATGGCCTCATATGGGTTGATGTCAATATTTCACTGTCGGTTTATTGATGCATATAATTATAACAAATAAGTGCATACACCAAATTCATATACAACGCATTTAAACCAAGCCTATACTGAATTCACATATTTGGTTTCTATATATAACGGCAAGGCATAAGTTCCCCTTATAATGGTTTCGTCAGAACCGTGATGATGAATCCCATATCCATTGAGGTTTTATAGTTAAAGCACTGCATTAGCGCTACGACGGAAAGTTCTTTGAAGGTTCTCCCACGCGGCTTGGCCCGTCGGTTTGCGAAAAAAAAGTGAAATTGATCAAATATTTGCTAAATAAGATGCAGCCCTTTCGGCAAATGATGCAAATTAATTGCAGTTGACGCCATGCATATATTGTATTATCACGTAATTCATCTTTGCAATATAATTTCCCAGCCAGTATCTCAATGTATTCTTGAATCACAATCGATCGAATTTGAAACGGAGTTTGTGTATAAAAACAGAGCCGCCCGGCAGGTAACATGTGACGAGCTTGCCGAATCCTAGCTGCGAATTAGTTTCGATTTTCAGCAATTGCCAACACCAAATAATACCGGGGAAATAGGAAATAGTTTGGTATGGAATAAAGAAAAAATGCAATTATTCCAAGGAAATAGGATAATTATGGCCGGCACAAGCACAGCAGCTGCATGCTGTTCCAGGCTGTCGTGTTCTCAAATGTCGTACATGTCACTCCACGACTCACGATCCGCGAATTTATCGCAAAGTGACCACGAGTACGCGACTATACAAGTAATACAACGAATGCAAGATTGGTTCAACGAATGCAAGATGCGCCAAAATCGGTGCGTCTGCTTACGCCATATGACGAAACTCGTAGTCGTTTAGCAAACTCTTGCTCAAAAGCTGGACATCTACCAGTTTTGTCTTAAGCAAACAACACGCGATAATGACAAATCTTGTACCGTGGTCGTATTTCGTATAGTCAGCTTGTTGACCAATTATCATTCTGCTTCGCCAACTGATACGGTGATTATTCGCTTGGTCCTGGCTTCTATCAACACCTAATATAAATATGTAGCCGATCAACGTTGCAATATGTACAACGTAAAAGCGTTAGAGAGACGTAATAGCGAAGCATGTTGACGCCAGCAATAGTGAACTCTATAAAGACTGAAACGATAAAGAGGGTTAACGATCGATAACCGAGTTATACAGAGGGTTATTTACTTGGCCATCAACTGTGAAGTCAATTTGAAGCTGAGTTGGGAACCAGCCACCATGGTGCTAGCTCCATTCTATTGTTTTTTCAGCGCGATCGTCAACCGTGAAGAAAAAAAAACCAATACAATTCGGACTCAATTGGCTTTAAAGTTGGCGACCAAGTTATCGTCTCAAGTCGCATAGAATTCATTCGTTTAGACGTTGACTCTTTAACGGTGTCCGAGCTGAAATGCACTTTATTAAATTTACTTTATCTTATCTATTATCTGAACCTTATTAAACTAAATTATCAGAAAACTCTAACCGGAGATATCGCAACGGTTATTTTGATTTAAATTTAATTTCTATCAGTTTACATCGATGTTACCAGATAATTCGTACGGTTGATATATTACGCGACAATTAAGTTCCTTTTTTAGGGGTCATTTTCGCTATATTTGTGCGCAAATATATGTGAAATATGTTTATCTATATATACGCGAAAGTTAAGGTTGTGGGCAGCGTACGTCGAGAGCTCAAACTGAGGGCAAACCTCTAAGCATAGTTTAGTTTATTTACTTTGGTGAACAAAACTATCAACTATGTATTCTGTTAGCACCTTTGATGCTAATTATTTAAAACGGTGCTATAGTGACAAAGGAGGCGAAAGTCAAGTTCAATTTCAACAAAAATAAACAATATCATTGTAGAAAGTTTGCAAAAAGCGAATGGAGAACATTGATTAGTATATTCTAGCCTTCTATAACCTTGTCCTTGTGTAAAAGCGGCTTTCTCGTTCCGAGCAGGTAGGCTTTTTGCATGCATGGTAGGATTTTTTCGAGCTCACCTGCCTGTCCAAACTCATCTGTAAAATCCATAAAAAATAGCAATGTTACCACGGAATGCCTGCCTTTCCTCATTCAAAAATGAGGGAGTTTATTAAACAGCTTTATTACTAATCGAAGGCTAAGTATGTTAATCTGTTTACATTCAGTTTTGCATGCGACTATAAGCGGTTTGTTTCTTTGAAGAAGAATTATTTATACCAATTCCACAATGCTAAACTTTATACTGAACAGCCTTTTCTGAAATGACATGAGATATTATCTAAAAACAAAACATACTTGCAGATTTTTTGTGCGAGGACTTATACTCACAGCTCACTACGCTCGCAATCCTTGCATGGTATTCTTCGGGAAAATTCCAGGTTCGTTCCGGCACACACTGCGTAAATTCCGGACGCACCTCCTTTCAAGTATATATTATAAAGCTGACTTTGTTTCTCTGTGGTTTAGGCCAGGAAACTATTAATCTAGGCATGCAACTATATATAACTATTTTTATCAAATTTCAATGAGTTTGTGGGCTTCACTTGATGTATAGGATAAGTTTCTTTAAGATGAAAGATGTAACTTATAATTATTATATAGTATTACTCGTTCACATCTATCAAAGGAAGAAAATCGCACATAATATCGCAGCAAAAATTTCAAATGTAAATGGGGCCTTAATAATAGGACTGATTTCGAGTGGAAATCGTCATATGCATCTCATATATATTCAGGCTGGGAACAGTTGAGAAACTGTCCTCGGCAGAAAACCTGGATCGGCCTCGGCAGAAAACTTTAATCGGTCCTCCGCAGAAAACTTTAATTCATTCTCTTAGTCTGAACTGCATGCATGCATGCTTTTAAAATTATCATATATAGTCTGGATATATTCAATACAGTGATGAATTAATTTGTTTACATGAATTTCTGTTGTCGGTATTTCTGCCATGAGTGTGAACTTCAAATTTTACATTTTGCTCAAAACACTGCTCTTTTAGGCAGATTTTTATAATTCTGTCAACTAATTTGGGAATTCAAGGTAGCCATGTGTTTTATAAGAGTGATGCTGTCACATTTCTACAAAGCGAACGTCATATTTCTTAGGAGCAGTCACATTTCTACGAAGCAGACGTCATGTACATTTCCAAGGAGCAATAACATTTCTAAGGAGCAATAAGAATTCTACGGAGCAATATCATTTCTAGAGAGGAAACACTGTGGATAGGCGAAACGTGTTAATATTATTACGTGTCGCTGTATGTATGTTGATAGAAAAGAACTGCTGTCCCTTAGGGCGGGCCACCGTAGGGTATTGTAAACATCGAGGACAACCTACTGGGACGACCTCCAGAAATTCCACAGACTTCAAGTAGCTACTCAATTTACTCTAACCGTCAGCTGTTGTCACCATCCTCGTTGACGTCATATAGATCTCCAGTATAGCTCTGAAATCCGGGTCATATATAGCACTTGAAACCAAAACATGCAATCA